CGTCAAAGAAGCGGCACCATGGATCTTGGCGGTGTGGATGTTTGGGGTCAGATTGCCCTAGAAACATCTCAAATGTATGTTTCTGAAGGTGCTGCCGCTAAAAGTCGTACTGTAAGTTAATTTATTTAATATCGACGTAATATGACGTTCGATCGTCTATTTTTCGCACGATTATCTGAATCCGTTTATATCACGTTACGTTTTTATAGGATATTTCAGTGTTAATTCGTTGGAGAAATTTAATTCGCATATCGATTATTAATTTCTCATGTGAAGGTTCTTAACATAAAAGAAATTGATATTCAAAATTGATAAATTTACCCTGGTTTAACGAGAAGGATAAGCTCGACGAATAATGTGCTTACGTCACAAGTTTAATCCGATTCGAAATCGCGCCAATAATGTGAACATTAAGTATGACAAATAAAGAAAACGCATGTGAAATTGCAGAAATTGTTTTAATTCGTAGTTTGACTTATTATTTTTACTTTACTTCTTAATTCGTCGAATAATCTTGAATAATTAAATGAGCGATCAATAGTGTACTCTTGATCTTCACGTAAATAAAATAATCTTTTCTCCGCAGACGATAGAGAAGCTGCCGGACAAAGTTTTGCTAAACGTCTTCAGCTATCTTTCGCATCGCGAGATATGCAGGGTTGCTCGCGTCTGCAAACGCTGGCGACAAATCGCGTATGACACGCGCCTCTGGAAACACGTGTCCTTGAGACCGGAAGTAAGCGGACTTCACGTGAGCTCCCTGGAAAACTTGTTACACTTAATCAGGTAACGAGAAGCCATAATGTATAATCCTCGCGACTTTCAGATGTTTTCTGGGCCATTTTTATATACAAATTCTAAAAACGAAAAATGACCTGCACATGCAGGATAGTCATAAGAGTAATTTTAAGGCATTTGGAATTTGTCGCAATAATGTTGTAGATTATCCAAAAATTTCAAATCAAAGCCAAATTAAAGAAATATTTATTTGAGATATTAACGTTTTTCGACAGAGACGAAAAGAACGAAATCCATTCTTATTTCAGATATGGAATTTATCTATTGTAAAATAATGAATATGGTTTGATATTTACAGCGTACGCTTCGGACCTTCATTGAGGTACATTGAATTACCGATCGAATTGATCACACATACGGTTCTCCACGAATTAGCCAATAGGTGTCCAAATTTAACACACATGTTACTGGACTTTTCAACTGCGATGCAACTGCACGACTTTTCAGAAATGCAAGCATTTCCCACGAAATTGAAGTACATGTGCATTTGTTTATCAGAAGTCATTTTCATGGAGGGTTTTATGCGAAAAATCTATAATTTCATAAACGGTCTCGAGATTCTTCATTTAATCGGTAATCGATTAAAACTATATTCTTATTCTACATATTCTATATTATTTATATATTTTATGTGCTATAAGTCTGAACTCCAATAAATAATGTATTTTCTAAAAAAAAGTACGGATATGCATTAAATATAATAAAAATATAATTACACAAATATTATTATAGTTAAATATATTTGGCAGAAAATAATGTTTTTTTCATAAATTTATAATTTATCTAGCAAATCTGTAGAAATTTTCATAATTAATTATGATCGATTATTCTTTAGGAACTTATGAAAAAATCGAAGAAGAAGAAGAAGAAATTTATGAAGTGATAAATGTGCACAAATTAAAATCAGCGACTCCAAATTTAAGGGTTATCAATTTATATGGCATTAATTTCGTGGATGATTCGCATATCGACGCCTTTTCTTCCAATTGTATCCAGTTAGAATGCCTAGCTGTAAATTACTGTGCCAAAGTGACCGGTTCGACCATGAAGACTCTCTTCCAAAGAAGCCGAAGATTGAAATGTCTTCTTATGCAAGGAACAAGTGAGATATTACTTACGACCTAATTAAAAAAATTTAATTAAAATCTTCAAAATTTTACGGACATTTTACGGACAACTTTTTGTGCAAACCGATCACATTATTTAATCTACGTCCAAAATTTAATGCAAGAAAACCCTTCACGCGGTTGAAATAGTAGTGTAATCTTTTTTCGTCGGCTTTTAAAAGTCGCATGAAATGTGAACATTTTAGATCTGCAGAGTGAGTACGTGATGCAAGTGGAATGGGAAAAATCGAGCATTCAGGAACTCGACATTACCGCTACCGATCTGTCGACGGAATGCCTGATTGACATGCTGACCAGAATCCCCGGGCTGCGTTTTTTGAGCGCCGGTCAGTTGAACAGTTTCAATGATAACGTGCTAAAATCCTGGACCGAACTTGGGAATACGCGGAATTTGATAGCGCTGGATTTGGACAGCTCCGATAACTTGAGCGACGAGGCCCTGCACAAATTTCTGTCGAGGCACGGCCATCAGCTCTACGGCCTCGCACTGTCGGGCATGCCGCACATTACCGATCAGCTTTGGCAAAGCGTACTACCAATTCTTACCAATGCAAGGCATGAGCATTTATGACACACAACTGATTCTACTGTATATAAGTATATCGTTGTGCTAAACGTGGAATAAATTCGTGATATTAACAATAGGTGTTAATTGCACAGTAAATTATATGTTGAATAAAAAAATGAATATCGTTCCGTTTCACGAATCTTAACATTTTTACCTTCTATACTTAAATTGTGTTCATTATTGCAAGAAGTTTATTGAAACAAAATTTTTTTATCTCTCTTATTATTGCTTTCTTTTACATCGTGACAACTTAAATTTTGTATACGTGTTTGTATACGTGAAATTACAATGATACGATTTCAGAATACTTGTGATGGGCACTCAAGAGAGATTAGGCGTCAATATTCACGTAGATCAATTGATGGATGGAATCGCCAATAACTGTCCCAATTTGGAGCGTTTGGAACTGCGATGGGATCCAGAAAACTTGCGATTTTCGGATAAAAGTCAAAAAGCCATCGATATTCTACGCGTGAAGTGTATCAAGTTGAAATGCTTAAGTTTAAGGTGAGATATTAAGGTAAATACGTAATACGCGTAAAACAAGCAAAATTTATCAAATATTATTTTGTTACAGTGACGGAAGATATTACGAAATTGTCAAAGCGAATTTCGAGCGAGCCGATAGGCTAACGGTTGTTAGAACAATTACCTGTTGCAGAGTGTCGAATTACTATCTTTTGCAAAATTATAAAGATCTAATTTTCAATTGACGACAGCGTTCAGATTTTATAAATGTTGTATCAATCTTGTGAGAAAAGACATTGATGTGAAAAAGTGCTTACAAATTAAGACAGAAATAATATATATTTATATAAAATATATTTTCTTTACAAACAGTATTAACGTAGATAGTACAAGAATTATAAAAGAACGTATAAAGATTCATATTGTATCATAAAATTGTAATTTAATAGCGCAAGCATTAAATTTCCTGCGTCGAATCAGTAATCGCTTTCGGAATTATCCCAACGAGAACAAACTTCAAAAACGCTTCGCGCAAACGTGAAAATTGCGATCTCTCAAACGCAGATGCGTCAGATCGCGAAACACCACGCACGTCGCCCTCGTCGTCGTCGTCCTCGTCGCCGTCGAAATATCCTTCCGCGCCTAGAAAAACTGGTACTAACCGCGAGGTACGCACACGTTGGCAATGGCGCGGTTCCGCCATATCGATTATTTGCTAATTTATTCATGCCTGCGAACAGACGACGGCGATGACGACGACGACGCCGCACTGGCCACCATCGCCGGTCGATTCGGACCTCGTTCGTCGGCCACAACACGCGAGCTGCCACGTTCTATTACGGCCGCGCCATTATAGTCGGCCGAGGACCGTCCCGACGGACGAGTCGGGCCACTCGTATGATCATCACCGAGAGTCGCCGTCGATTCAGTCTGCATCTTCGTAACGTCCCCGATGTCGGACATCGACGAGGACTCGGTCGAGAAGCGGTTGAAAATCGTGCTCGTGGGTGACTCCGGCGCCGGCAAAGTGAGTTTCGGTGTCGTCTCCTCGGCTCGAAGACGCGGCGATGGCCGATGAAGAGGGTAGGGGGAGGGAGGTGGTTGATCCCTCGTTTCGGTGCCCAAGGCTAAACGAAGGATACTCTATTAGCGCGTGCCTGTCCTGTTTGTTTAATTTAAATTTGTTTGCTGATCACTCACGTTAATACCGGTGAAAAACCGGTATAGCAAGAGTCCTTCAACAGGTGATAGGACGAGTTTCGTTAGAAACTCAAAGTGTTCGACCAACGCTTCTTTTTCGTAAGAATTGTACAGGCGGAGAAATTCAGAGTTCAATCCTCTCTGTGAATCTGTTTATATGATTTTTTTTTGGAGATTTATTAATTTAAATATTATTGATACTTTTACTAATGATATATTAATATATCAAGTAATTAATATCATGTTTTTGAATGTATGATTACGTGAGCGATATGGATTAACGATGAATGTAATGCGCGAGCTTGGATCGATGACATCTTTGTCCGTGACTTCGTGTTTCTAGATCCAATGCGGAAACTTTCGTAATATGCGATGTTTGCGGTTAGCATATTCTTTTGACCATTGACGGAACATTAAAACGAAGCAGATACAAATTTTCTAATCGATGCATTTTTGCATTAACGAGGCTGCATTAACCGTATATAGGTCATGGATTTATTAACTTTAGCAAGCTGTTTTCTCCGTGTGTTGATGAAGAAAGATGCTATTTTTTGTATAATAATAAATTTTTATTTATTCAGGTTTTTACTATTACTTATTCAACATAAAATTTAATCCTACATTTTGTAATATTTGTCAATATTGTTGTAATGTAAACGGAAATATATCTTAAACATAAATTTACCAAAGTTATATAATACGCACAACGAAAAATAAATTACGATTGATGAAGTAATTTCAAAACTTGCAAAACTTGAAACTAAGCAAAACAACGCTCAGTTGTTTGACATGCAAAATGATTCTAAATCTTTTTATTTTTTAACTGCAATTTTAATTTGTCGTTAATTACCGTACAATTACTATCATTATCAGTTGAATACCTATTATTCTCCTAATGCGATCGTCTGTCATTCTTGATAATTGAAATTCAAAGATCCTTCTTTAGACCAGCATCGTCCAGAAGTTTTGCAACAACGACTTCACCAGGCAGTACATACCTACCGCGGGCATCGACTTCTTTCTCAAGAACATCAGTATCGGCAGCTACAAAAATGTCAATCTGCATCTGTGGGACGTCAGCGGACTCGCGCTGCATGGGAATATGCTGGACAAATATATTTTCGGAGCACACGTAAGAGCACTTCTCCCTGTCTGCACTCTGCTAAAAAAATAAATATTTTTACCTTATATAATTGATGTTAATTTATCACTTTTGTTCACGTGCTACAATTATATGTTGTTACAAACCAGTGTATTTATGAATCAGATCATTCTTTTGGTATACGACGTCACGAACAGCTCCAGTTTTGACATTCTGGAAGAGTGGCTCGGTCGGATCAAGAGTTTCACGGATTCTTACGACGAAGTGCCTCTAATAGCGGTTGTAGGCAATAAATGTGACATGGAACATCAAAGGACAGTTAAGAGAGATAAATCGCATCGATTCGCTGCGGAAAATGGATTTCCTTATCACGATATGTCCGCGAGAACTGGAGAATCGGTATTTCTTTTTTTTTTTTTTTTTTCCTAATAAATGTGTACATAAAAAATATATTTTTTTATATTTATATATCGAGTACGAGAATTAAAAAGATTAAAAAAAATTGTATTTTTTAGGTATCTTTATGCATAGCAAGTTTGGCGGCGCAAATCTTGGGTGTCCGATTAACAAGGACGGATCAAGACTTTCATAAACCCATTATTATTGCCGAAATTGGAGACACGGTAGATGTGAATTCAATACACAAAGTCGTAAAAAGAATTCCCAACAAAAAGCAACACCCGATTATATTCCATCCCCATTTCCCTGCCTCGAAATCCGCGGTGTGTGCACTCCAATGATACTCATCGGACACTATTAGGACCTTTACCTTTTATACATAAATTTAAACAATATGCATATTGTAATTTTGTTCGATATAAGAAAAATTGTACTGCAGTTATGATAGTAATAAATATAATACATCATATTTCATACTTGTGCAGTAACATTTTATACATGTTATAAACTTCATTCGAGTGCACATTTTCATAATAGCACGCAAATTACATAATGCCAAGAATGTATCTTTTTTTACAATTGTCTCGCGCGTGAATGTCCTGAATATATTTATACAATCATATCATTCAAATTAAACACACTGTATAAATGAAAATAAAAATTATATTTATGTAGCATGGGGCCAATGGATAAATATGACCACAGAATTTGTTTACTGTAGATTGAAAAACAGATTTATTAATCTTGTTATGGTACTAGTTACACGCGCAACATAGATTTATATAACAACATTAAAAATACATTTACATGATAAGATTTATTGCAAAGTAATAGTAACAAAGCATATGATATAATATGAGGACGTATGTATATATTAGTCAGGGTTGAGGAAATTACTCTTGAAAAGTAACTCGTTATCGTTATTGTTACTTAAAAAGAAACGATTCGTTATGTTTTTTACTAAAACGAAATTAAATTAAGTAAAAAATTTACTTTTCTAATATTTTTTGTTAAACTATCAATGAAAATAATAAAATTTTTTATTTTAAATTTTCAAGAACACAAAAAATTTAAAAAGAAAGATTAAAAAGAAAGATAAAATATTCAAAATGCAAATTAAAAAATTGTCATTTTCTTTAAATTTATAAATACAGTTAATTTCTTTTTTATCCTCAATTTTATGCTTACAATTAATTTTTATGCTTGCAATTTTTAAAGGCCGGTACTTATAAAGTCTATTCTATATGTTAATGTAGCTTTGTGATTGGTTTATGATAAATTATTTCTAAGATGATTTTATATAATAACGGATTGTGAATATCGGAAGACTGATATTAAACATTGAATATGCAAAAATTATTATAAATAGGTTCAAAATATATAAAGTAACGATAAATATAACTGTTGAATTCGTTATCCTTATTGAAAATTACCTTACCATTACAGTTATTAAAAAAAATAACCGTAACGATAATGGCGTTACGAGTAACGCGTTATTTCCCAACTCTAATATTAGTAACTCACAGAAGAATTCAAAATTACTAGGAAGATTTATTAAATATTATATTACAAGATGCGTTTATCGAAAAGACGCAGCGATTGAAGATCTGATATAAATAAGATAAAAATAATAAGCACTTTAGATAAAACAGTTTTGTGCTTTCTTTTTTCTTAAATAAAGAAATTTACAAAGCTATTTTAAGAATAATTTCTAAGATACTCCACACTATTCTTTTATTCTTTCAAAACGTTGCTATTAATAGCATTTATTGGTTTTGCATATTGCCGCAAACAACATCAAAATTCAATCATTCAATTGAATATAATCTCTCCTTCCTAAAGATCATCAATTCAAGCACATACACAATAATCTTTACTAATCCTTGAAAAATTTATCTGATTGGAGTATAATATTACAATCATTTACTTATGGCACAGTTCTTTGTTTATACTAAAACTGCAGATACTGCGTTTCATATACGTTATATAAATCAACACGTATTAATTTATATTGTTAATATCTTTTCGAAAAACGTAAACATCAGCAGTGCTATTCGTATAGCGTTCGACAATTCGAAGACATAACATGAAGGAAGGACAATTTGTGCGTACGTGATCAGAAAGACTAACTTTATATAATCTACGCATCGCGCGTTCACAATACATGCAATTATGTATATATATGACAATAAACTTCAAAATCTAAAAAAAAAAAACATAACTTGAGATCTAGCACTTTTAATAAATTGCTAATAAATTATATGCTAATGTTACAAAATAATATTTTTTTTTTAAATATATTTATCAATAGATTACTATCTATCTTTATACATTATCTATCCTTGTAAATTATCCAGAACATTTATAGTGCGTTTAAAATATTTTTCTGGAATCACAAAGAATAAGAATTATTATATATAAATATTTCTGTTAAACTTGTATGATGTAAATAAGAAAGATTATTGTTCTATTATGATTAGTTCTATTATATAAATAATGTATGTATTCTATTATATAAATAATGTATTGTTATTTCCACCGACATAAACGAGATTTACTAATATAATTTATACGGACGGTGCAATTATGATTTGATTATTCTCTTATCAAATTACATATTATATCACATATTCTGTACAACAATTGCAAGATGTAAAATTACGAATTCAAAACTTTTACATTTCACTGATTATCCACGCCAGGTTTAGAGAATAATTGCTAAAAAATCTCTCGCACTCTTTTCTCGTATTATTTTAGCAAAATTTTCAGTCTCTTATTATACTACAAAGAACACGAATACCTTCATTCATTTATTCCAATTGAAATTGTCGTTTTATACTATAAGTCTGATTTTGTGAGAGGTCTCTTTGGCCATGTATTTTTCTCTAAAAGTTTCTCCTTAATTTCCCATAACTGATTGAGCTTTTCATTTAAAGGTGCGGTATACGTGTCAAGCCACTCTTGTATCGTATAATTGTCATAAATATCCTCCATCGCTGTACGCATCTCTTTCTCGATATATATTATTTCCATTTTATGTCTGTCCAAATCAGCGACCGCACGCTCGACGTAACTAGGACTAGCAAAAGAATACTTAATGTTATATGGTTTTAACCATCCCTTATAAGTATTGTCCTGTTCCATTTTCGCTATCTCTTGCGCCAAAGAGTAAAGACGTAAAACAGCCGCGTACACCGACACTCCGTGGAAGCTGCATTTGGTCCAGCCGTACTGCGGCTCCGGTATGCTCAACGAGATGACACCGTCGCATTGTAAAGCTTCGGATATACGATCGGGCACCTCTACCGGGAAGCCGTTTACATCCGAGGCTTGTAGTATAGCTAAATTAATGGCGAGAGACGGCAGTCCTACCGGCAGCAACTCGCAGAGGACACTGAAGTGATCGTATCTCTGCCATCCGGTCAGCATCACGCCCTTGAATGTGATTTGGCTTGAGTATCTCTGAATGATTTCTAACCAACGTTGATGGTTCTCCATGTGATATGAAATGTCTGTGTAATATCTGTCCGGCGAAGTGGCCCCTTTGAATGCCGTCGCGATCCAGACTTCCTTCCACACCGTGGCGTAGCTCTCCCACAGTTGATCTGTCAGCGTCATACCGGGATCAGTGGTGTACTTCCAGATGACCGGCTCCACCGTCCGGTGCAGATCTCTGTCGATAATCTCTTGTGGCGATATATCACGGAATTCGTCGTCCCACATGAGTACAGTCAGTTCCGGGTATGTCTCTTTGATATACTTGACTACCGAAGAGACGTGATCTAGGAACAACTGTCGCTTGCTCCACTGCCTCTTGGCCATGATATCTAAACATCTCGAGCATTCCCCTATCTGATAAACCTCATCTGCGCCGATATGCAAATACTTGGACGCTGGATGCGCGGACACAATTTGGTTTATCATCTCGTAGATCAATGGTAGTGTCTTATTGTACGTAGGGCACAAGACTTGGGGATAACGCGGAACTTCCCTGAAGTCTTTATACTTGTCCAACTTGAGGACGAATTCCATATGGCCGAAGGTTTGTATCAACGGTATGATAACCAACTGATTATTCCTGGCTATATTTTGAATCTGCGTGATGTCCCTCCTGGAATAAGAGTTGCCGGCGTGTATGTCCTCGATGCTGTCGGCAAAGGGGAACATGTCTTCGTATTCCACAAGCACGCCGGTGGCTCCCAGCTTTCGCAGCAGAGGGAACAGGTAGTTATAATAGCTCATCTTCGGCGGGGCGCCTTTCAAATCTAGGTGGACGATCTTATGGCCCTTGAACAGCGGAGTGCCGTCTGCAAACGATTTATCGTGAGTTAACTCGTTAACCAGTCTGTTCCTACCGTTCCTCAAATTCCCCGTCATCTGGCCCTCTACTCGCTGCCCTCTGGCAGCGCCTTGAGAGCTGTCTGTGAGTTCACCTGGTGGGTACACATCCTCGGATCTCAGACGTGCGCCGATCTTGCCCGTTGATATCTCGTCGATCTCGTTACTCAGTATGTGATATATGACGACCAGCAGGATGAAGCTGAGGGTCGCGAACACCATCAGCGAGGCACGGCCCCGTAGACGCGTCATGACGTCGGGAGAAATTCGCGCGCTGCTCTTCGGGGATCGAGTCGTCGTCAAAACTTATCGCACTGTCATGTCCATCGTTCACGAGCCGCGCGATCCCGCCAGAGGAACAAACGAAGAAAGAGAGAGAGAGAGAAAGAGAAAAACTATATAGAAAGAAGAAGAAAGAAGAGAGAGAGAGAGAGAGAGAGAAAGACAGCTATTATTGCGGAACAACGCAAGAGACACGCTCGGCGTTGCTCGTCGAGTCGCGGGACGTGCGCATACCTCGTGCGTCGCGGGCGCACCTCGATCTCTCGAGAGAAACCGAGACGAATCGTGCGGCCGAGTTTCCCACGAAAACCATGAAAAAAAAGTGACGTTTCACACTGCAGTCGGCCGCAAATATAAGCGAAGACAGGCGCGATGCTGCTCGCCACGCGCGCGGTCTATCGGCACCGCCGAGAGACACCGGATCGGGCGAGAGAATGGACAGGAGACGGGAGAGACGAGAGAGGAGATGGAAGTGACGGGATGTGGAGACGGGAGAGACGGGAGAGACCGGAGAGGAGACGCTTTCGGTCTGATGTACGCGCGGTCGCGCGCGGCTCGCTGATCCGAAAAGGGATGATGATGCGTGTGGCGTAACACGATAATTATTGATCCTTGCATTTTACGCCACGCCGAGCCGAACGGGCGCAGCCCGTTACGAATTTCAACGACCGTGATAAAGCGAGCAAAATGTTGTCCGTGATTTCGATCGATAAAAAATAAAAGAGAAATTTCACAAACGCTAGATCACGATTATTCGAGAGAAATTTACGATCGAACGTACGTTACGTGACAGTGATCTTACGTGACGTAAGATCTGGATAATAATCTTCGAAGGATAATCTGCAGCACGCGCCATCGTTTTTTTCCTTTAATGTTTCTCGTTTATTATTCAATTTTTTTTCTGGATTGATCGATTCTAATCAATTGTTGTACATTTCATTAGGCACTAGAACAAACGATAAACGTTATCGCTAATACCAGTAATCACTCACAGTAATACTCGTAGTTTGATAAGATATAAAAATAGCATTGATATCAGTGTTTAGTCGCTAGGTGAATAGAAAAGGCCATGTTAAAATAACAAATTGAACATCTGTTTTAATAAAAACTTCTTATTTAATTTTTCTCTATACTAATCGTCTCATATTCATTTCTATCAATGTAAATTAACTTTAATATCGATTTAACTTACTTTTCATCTTTTTCTAGTTTTTACAAAAAAAAAATAGAAAGTAAGTTAAACTGAAATTAAACTCAGTTCACATTTATAAATGAATTGGTAAAAAATGAGTACCTGTACGATTAAAGAGAAAGAGAAAGAGGAAGGAGGAATAAAAAAGAGGAAGATAGAAATAAAAAAAGAAGTGATTTACTCTTTCTCTCTCTCTCTCTTTTGCGTTCAAATTAGTGCAATAATTTTGAAATAACCTACTTTGGTAGAACCGGCGGATGACGACGATCGATCCAATCGACAATGAAGTACCGGAAGTTATCGCTTGTCAAGCCGAGCGAATGCCAACACGCTCGTGTATTATATTGCGTTGCATTTCCGTCGTGCGGATATCAATTAAATATTAATTTATGCATTGGATGCGCGTAAGCATTCTCGACATGGTGTGGTTTCGGCCATTTTTTTTAATTAACAAAAATGTTTACGTACCTTGGAAATTAACGTTAGGAATTAGCTTAATTTCAGATGTAATTACATCGATAACATTCTTATTTTGTTCAATGGAATACGAGAATAAGATAATTTCGAATAAAATAAATTAATGCATAGAAATGTGCAACGGCTATCGTAACGTCGTACTCTGAAGTGACGCGACATCTGTCGAGTTATAAATAAGTTCGATGATTCCGAATTTTATCGGAAATCTGCAATTTATAATTTTAATTTGTAAATCTATTATACACAGATATTTATCGATTCCAATTGTAATAAAGATGATGGAGACAACAATAAAAAAAAAAAATAACTGTGATAAACGAGAAACGTAATTGATGTTATGTTCCAACGATCACTGCAAATTGCATGGGTATATATGTATTTCCTTATGTATATAGTTTCGTGCCAATCAGCACGAAACGGTTATATTATCCGGCGTTAAAATATGCTCAGGACATGCATCATGGTAAAAGCAAAATTGAACCTCTGGTCGAGTGCATAACATTACAATAGTGTCGTTCGTATAATAACATGATGAACAATAGAAAGCAAAGTTTAAAGGTACATTAAATAAAAAAATATCATAATAAAAATCATATTATTATAAATTATATTATAAAATTTTTCGCTTTTTCCTCAATTAATTAGACATTAATTAAAAATTTTATCTCGATTTTAAATCATCCCGATTTTTCCTCTCTCTTACAAATTTTCTTACGATCTTTTTTTAAATTTTTTTCCATAAAGTGAAAAATTGAAACAATTTCTCAGTAGAAAATGGGAAAGCACAATTTGAATTAAATGGACCACCCGGTTTATAGGGCCAAAAATTGATTTCTTTTTGCATTTTTTCAAAGATAGCTTTTCAAATATATTTTCTGAAAATTTGAATGTGATTCCTTTCCCTTTCAAAGTTACAATGGTTTGAGCAATCCAGCTTTGAAATAAGATTTGAAGCGCTCAAATCTGGTCGGCATATATTATACCTGATATATTATACCTGAAATACTTGGAATACAAAGATTTTGGACTATTGGCAGGTTGATTTTGAAAAAACAAAATAGCTCTACTTTTATACATATGTATACACAGATGGGTCTGAGTATTTTGAAGGTTCGAAAGAAGATCAATACAAATTTGAAGTGATAGCTCAAGTTACTTTTCGTGCGGTCCAGAGAAAGTGCGGATGTAATAAATAATAAAATGACTAAGCAGAAAGGAAGCCATGATGTTCCTTCTCATCGATTTCGTTCGCGCAAAAGAAAATTTCAAGGCAATCAGTTTTCAGTTGGGACAAAAAACGAAATTCGCGACTACATCTGCAAATAAAATACTCCACGATGAAAGAGATATTATTATTGATCCTTAGCCAAGACTATTGTATTGTCATCTCATTTCTTTTTGTACTTACAGCTCTCTCTCTCTCTCTCTCTCCCAATTAATTTGCAAAAAAATGCAAAAAAAAAACATAAATTTTGGAAAAACACGACATTGAAGATTTGGTTTAAAGATAATGTTTACATGCAAGTGCGGAAATCGCAATAATAAAATAGAAAAGAGTGTTGATTGGTTTAGGATCATCTGCGTTGTTAAGAAAAGTCGTTTTTGTCGTGTGATTCATGTAAGTATTCGAAGCATTCGTTCGGTTGGCATTTTTTAATATCTTCTTCGACGTAATCTCGAGCATGGATAACCCAGCCCGACTCAATTTCCATGAAATGCAGGAACACCCGTTAGGCGACTGACTATGAGCGTGAGTCACATCTCCGCGGCCGACGAAGGGAAGCAGGAGCAATGATTCTAGACAATAAAGCCGTTTAACGATGGCATCGTGTGCGCGATTCGACGAGTCACTGCAGATACAGTCGAAACCGCAAACCGAGGACTCGAGGACGTGAAAGGCACGATTACATTACGAAAAGGCCGATTACACGTGCTTACAGTAATTGCGTTGATGTTTACGATTTTTGTAAAAATCCCGTAAAGCGCGTCCTTCAACTCCGACACAAGAATGACGACACATGGCGTACGAATCCCAAAAATTTCATTCCCGTCTTACGTTCGCTCCAAATGCCATTGTAACTTGTATACATTCAAATTGATGAAACGAAAGGATCGAATCGTGCTTTAATCTCGGATTTCCAAGTACGTTTTCCGACGCGAGACTCGCGTGAAAGTTTGCTCGTCTAAGTTTTCCCATAGACTCTACACAATTGTAGTAAATTGCTTCTGCGTAGTTACTTAGTATTCCGTAATGTAAACGTGCTCCTCTCTTTTTATATCCCCTTCCGCGAAGCGTAAAGATTTGCTGATCGATCGATCGATCATCAAATTGATGATTCTGTTGATTATTTATCTCGTAATACTCGATATTCCGCACAAAGTGATTTTAGTTGTCGTCCCAAAATCTTTTCCGCTTTTCCAAAAATTTGACGGGCTGTGCATCCGTTCGATTCCTCTCTTGTGACTTTTAACATCACATCAAGTCTTTGATTAATCTCTCTTTACCTCAAAACACTTATTATGATCTAATTTATACGTAAAGCCTAAATCCAATTTTAAAAGTTGCATTTAATAAAAAGACATTTTACATATAAACTTTGTACATGTCGGATTTTAGTAAAAACCGCCAACAAGGACACCATGATTAATTTTCTTCCGCAAAGAAACAGATTCTCTCTGACCACTTCATCAAATTCATGCCACAAAGATACCACCTTGTGCATATATGTAGTAGTAATTAAATTGTATCTTCTTTGTGATATATTCCTGCGAAACCGCGACAACAATGCGCTTCCGCAGCGACTTGTACAGAGGAATGAAGAATTGCCGGGCGATTATTCAGAAGTAGTGACTCAAGTGTGCACTTACACGAAGTATGTTAGGTATAATGTATAATGTTTCACGTGCTGCATTCTGTATGCATGCAGTTGCATATGTGCAAGATGAGACTGCTACGAATGTAATCACGCACAGTCGCTATGTTATCTGCCGTTATCTTCCATTAAAAAGGCGTATCTGTAATATACATAATGATACTGTATATTTGTCGCAATTAAGTCATCTCGCCGAGATAAAAATTCTTGTGGAATTTAAGAAATCGTATTTTTTTTTTTTTTTTGCGAAGAAAGCGAGAATCATACGTGAAGAATACGTTTCCGAATAAAATTGCGATATAATTGTTTATGCATCGTATATAATAAATAATATATCATATTGTTTATTCGCAGATTGAATTCATCGTCTTGAATTTCAATTAAAATTCAACTCAGTAATTTACTTCTGACGTCAAGTGAAGCGATTAAGGTCCTCGACTAAATGGAATGGCTGTAATTTAACGATAAATTAAAGCAAAATATTGTCACCTTTCTACTTAATATAAAATTAAAATTCTGATGTTAACACATTATTTTGCAAAAGTGATCTTATGATAATTGGTTATTACAGTCTCAATTTCTTCACTTTAATTAATGTAAATCTTGTTATCCGTTTTATTTGAATATTAATTCTTTCTTCTATTTTTACTTTTTTTTCTTTACTTTACTTTCTATTTTGGTTACTTTCTATTTTGAACGGGATATTCTAGACGCTGATTTATAATCCACATAAAGTCTTGCGGTTCTGACGATAAATATGCATGTTTTTATTCATTATTCGTAACTCTATACAGATCGCCTTTTGTGTACTCAGCTGCGGACTAACAGCGTAAAATTCCTTTCAGACGCAGCATGCGTCGGAGGCAGCTCGAAATAATTCCATTTTTGTGTTTTTACTTACATTAAAAAAGACAAACTTAAAACTTAGCTTAACTCTAATCAATAATTGACATGAATCACACAGAGATAAAAATTTTCTCGATAAAAATTTTTATTTTGTTTCCTCAAAAGATACACCATAAATCTTATTTACCCCTTATCTTTCCAAATCTTTTGTACCTAGAGAAAGGTACTTTAAATTTCTTAAAGAGAAAGGAGAGAGTAAATAAAAAAATATTAGATATCAAATGAGATAGAGATCTACCAGATTACGCTTCCCGCAGAATTTTCAGATACTTTTCTCCCCGTGAGGTACACAACGCTTCATCTTCGAAATTTATCGCTCCCTCTCAAGGTTGCGATACGCAACTTCTCGCCTCGTCGCTCTCTCAATGACAGACAAATGTCCTCGCTGCTGATCGCGCTGTTCGCGAATCGCGAACAAAACGCACCTTCCAACTCCCGTCGAGCCGCGTTTACGCATCTCGAGGACTTGGCGCATGTGGCACGGCCTCTGCGAAACGGTGCGTACGTGTGCGTGCGCACACGCCTGGTTTTCCTTAAAGAAACGACGCTCTCTCTCTCTTTCTCTTTCTCTCTCGCATTCTCTTTCGCGTGTAGTTCGCGATGCCACGAGATAACGTAACGTTACAACAACGCGCGGGGAACAACGCGCGCGCGAGACCCGGAGTCAGTACGCTCGTGAACGCGTGTCGGGAAGCACGCGCGTTGCGAGTTCCTAGTCGCGAGTTCGGCGGCCCGAGATCCGGACGTGCCGGGGGCCGCGATTGAAAGAAAAGACCGGGAAAAAAAAGAAACTGACACTTTCGAAACTTCACGTTTGGTGAGTGCCAAAGAACGAGTGAGCGAGTGCGAACTGTACCGTCGTAAGCGCGTACGCGGAAGAAAAATTTTTCTCGCGATTTATCTCCGCGTCGATCGATTCTCGCGAACTTTCAACGAGATCACGCGAGACTCGCGCGATTTTGGAAAAAAAAGTGACGTATTTATTTATTTATTCTATCTCGCGACAGATTGCGATCGATTTTGTGAGAGTCCTGCAAATCGCGAATCCGTGCATTTGCGTTTTCTCGAAATCTAACGATTTCAATTCGCGGGACTCGCGCGATTTCAGAGAAAAGTGACTTATTTATTCATTCCGCGACGGTGCGATTGTTTATGTAAGATTCTCGAGCAATTCGCGAGAATTTGCATTTGTGATTTCTCGAATGAAACCTAACAATAAGCGTGTAACGAAACGTCGTACTTTGATGCAAAAGAGGTAAAGTGAAAGGACCTCTCGGTGCTTTATGAACACACGATCTGACGTGCGAATCTAAAGTCCATTATACGACGCGTGCACGATATCGTAGCCGACAATTAAAAGTCTCTCTTTGTTTTAAATCACAAGCGACGATTGTTGCGGTAGATTGTAATTAGTATTAGTACAAAAGAAAATCGAAAATTGCACACTCGGTATTTAAATGTATTTAGCTCGCATATATGTCGCGTATGCGTTTACGAAATCTTACTACTGAAGTATGTCTTGACACATCGTTGTTGCAACAGAAAAGGAGAAACATTGTGACGATTTTAAAGATGTCATAATATCTTACAAACATCATTGAGATACTTTTTACAAGACAAATATGTTGTTTAAATCTCTTAATTTCGCAGAGAAGCAAATCGATATCTTTCTTAAGTAAAAAAAAAAAAAAGAAACTAAAGATTTATAGATCAAATTTTTTTAACTGTTGCGAAAAGAAACATATTATTACGCACGCATTAGCAAAGCTTAGTTAATATTTAAATATAACAATAGCGGAATAACGAATCACCAATTACTTTCTATCAATTCTCTTCAAGTGTAGAGAGATGTCTCAGCTTCTCAACTGGTCGTTTCTTCGAGTTAGTGAGTAATTCAAGTAGAGATATGCTTTACTCCGAAACACTATCTCTTACATTTCCGTAGTTCAATCTTGGCCATGTAAATCTAGTGCGTGTCCTATCAATCGGATTTTAATCGGATAAGTAAACAGTAACTTGACTCGTTACTAATGTATGATGTTGAGTGCACGCCAATATTTATAACAGGGATATATATAGAGATGTACACATATATATATATATATATATATATATATATATATATATATATAATAA